CTTCCAACGCCGCTTGACTGTCTGAGAATATTTTTATCGATTTGTTCATGAGGTTAAATTCTTCCAATCTCTCCGCACATAATTCAATAGCGTGAATTTCCGTTTGAAATACAGTCGCATAGGTTCCCAGGCAGGTTGATATCTCTGTCCTGGGTATGCGACTGAAAACACCTGCACAAGAACCGGAAGGTGTTTTTGATCCATCTATGAACCAACAACTATCTACTCTTAATATTTCCTTCTTCCAAATGATCCGGTCCTTTCTATTCCCAATTGAGAAGGTCCATTAGGAAAGAATTTGTATTGTCTGTATCAATTAAACCAAAAAATATTTCACATTCACTTTAAGTCCAGTTAGTGAACGGAAAGTTGGAATTATCAAAAACCATCGATGGTTGACCATCGAATATATCTGAATTTTCCTGAATTGTTAATTTGAATATTGGTCTACAATTTCTTCTTTCGTTGTGAGGTGAATATAGGAAATATGTATTTTGAAGATGATTCTGCCATTGTAGACATTACGTCTTATTCTACTACTGCTTTTGATGTGAGGCACCGTTTTGCTTTCCAACGCATCTCACTAGTTTCTCAAAGTCAATACGAGCACCTCCGTGATCACGACAAAAAATGCATTGTCAAGTATCAAATGATTCATAACCACAAATATCACTAGTTTCCTTTATTATACAGGGCGTTGATTCTGTAGGGCGATACTCCTTAAAAATCATTCATTAGGTTCGCAATCCCTTCATTTCAGAGATGTAGGATATTCCTAATATCTGTAAAACTGCTTTGGCATTTTCATTTTGGTTTATGCAAAGTATGCACAAAAATATATGTTTTTTATGGTAAAAGTTTTCTCAATGTTCATCAATGGATTCCCTGTTAACATGCCTTGACATATTTTATATCAAAATCATGAAACGTCACTGTGCTTTGTCCAAATAATTATTATTTCAGTAATTGCCCTCTAACTTCTCATAAAAATGGTCTCTTGCCTGTTTTCCAATCGACGAACCGTTTTTGAGGTAGAAAATGAAAGGGATTCATTTGCTTGTCGGCGAAATCTGCCGTTATAATGTAGTAGACACATCCAAAGTGCTAACTTTGACATTAATTCTTCTTCCGTTTGGAACAGTTGACTTCACACCAGTCTTGAGATACTCCAAAAAAATCAAGACTGTTCAACTATGGGAATTTAGCTGGCCATGACTCCATTCATCCACAATCTATCCAGAGATTACGAAAGTTTAGGCTTGAATAGTCGCGTACCAGAGCACTGAAATCAGCAAGAGCACCATCGTGTATATACTACATGCGAGTTCGCATTGAAATAGTAACATCTTTTAAGAGAATTGGCAAATTATCTTCAAGAAATTGGCAATAAGTATGTCTATTTGAACTGCGTGGTTGAAGAAAGATCCAACTGAGTAATAATTATTTTGTTTTTAGATGCAAAACACAATCACTACAGAAAAATCCTCAAGGCGTTCTCAAAACGGTGCCTGTGCGAAAGTGGCGATTCACATTGGATTTGAATCGCTGGAGAGTAAATCCATTTGGAAAAACGTTCTCAGGAAATTTACTGTACATAAATGCAGTTCTTCAGACGCACCTTGAACAGGGAAGTTCAAGGTGTCACTAAGAAGAACCCCAAAATGATGAGCGTATTTCTGATATGTAGCGCTCTTTGTGGAATCAAATGTGCCAAGTCACTTGAACACCTCCCGTGATAGTATTTTCTAATCCCGTTCCAGCAAAACAACCTCAGTCCGTGAATAAAATAGTCCTATAAAAAAAGGATTTTCTATAACTTGTTAGAGAAACCATTGGCTGGAATTTACTCATAAGGGAAAGTCTCGAGGAAGTAGAGCCTGAATCCGTTGAATGTGGTAGGGATATAATAAATAATCATGTAGTATCTGTATCTGTAGAGTAGAAAGGGTGAGTGTAGGACCACAGCACTTAGGTCACCTATGACTCATTGTACATTCTCCCAAGGAGTTGTCCCCCTAGGTCATTGTCCTTCCTGGTCTTTTCAGGAAGGTGGACAGAGCACTGGGAGACATATCCTTTATATCGGCAGGTGTAAGCCAAGATACACCGAACACACACCGAGGTGTGTCCATTAGACTCATATTATGGAGGTGTTTCCTCAGTTGACAGTGTCCAATCAGAAATCCTACTGTTGAGCGTAGATTTTTTCTGGTCATCGCCAGATATTTCTTCGTTGCCAGCTTCCCAGAGTCACCCAGGGTGATCCTGGCAAGATTGCATCCTTTGGTTCCATTCTATTTCTTTAGGGATTGAGATAGGTGAAACATTTGACTAGTTCCGCAATTGTCGAAGTCATTAGGCCGTAGGTACCACTGGGTCCTCAAATTCTTAGTCCAGCAGCTTCCTTGGCTGGAGTGTCGGCAATGCGATTACCTTTACTCCTGTCGTGCCCTTCAACCCACCTCAGGATAATGTTATTATCTAACGAGACTTTGGCTAAATCTTGGTGGCACTCTAGTACTAGCCCTGAGGTAACACGTTGTCTGTTCAAGGCTAATAGGGCTTGTCTGCTATCAGTGCAGATTGTTATATTTTTGCCAGAAATTCATTTCCTGGTTATTTCTTTTGTGGCGATTGAGATACCAGCCACTTCAGCTTGGACCACGCTGATATTTTTCCCATTCCCAACTCAATCCTCAGGCTTAGTACACTCCATAGTACACTACAAGTACACTTCACATCCTGAGCCTTCTTTGGTTTTTGAGCCATCTGTATATATATGCGTATTGCATTTGTAGCATTTGACTAAGTATTCTCTTTCACTTGTATTTTGTAGGGTTTATTAAACACAAACCTGGATTCAATTGCATCACTGGTTGCCTGCAGCACATGTTGAGCAGTAAGCGCTTCTCGCCATTGGCTCAGCCTCAATTGACACATTCCTACTTCGAGGTTCACACCAGCCGTTCGCAATCGTAAAATCATGCAGTATTTTCCATACTAAAATATGAAAAATTATTGTCAATTTGCCTCGTACCGATATCAAGTTTTTCGTCAACTGAATTCAAAACAGCTATGTGCTGTTAGGGAAACACAGTCGCTTGGCTTCATATGCGTTATCGTCAGTAAATCCAAACAATGAAGTACTTATCTAAGGAAGGGTCAGAATTGTTCATGTTGACAATAACAAAATTTGCATCCTAGATGTGTCTAGTCCACGTACTACATTTCAACGGTTGATTTCGCATAGGGACAAGCAAATAAATGCATTTTATTTTCTACCTCAAAAACCGTTCGCCGGACGAANTAAAAATGGTATATAAAAAATATCAAAATAGTATAAAAATTCTTCTAACAATAAAATACGTTCAAATAATATATAAATACAAGAAGCTAAAAAGCTAGAAATAGAAATATGTTCCTGAGAATATTGTCCCATAACACAGATCAAATCAGGAGTATTCAGAATAGTTAGTTCCATATTACAATTATATAAGGACATAAAAACAATTATTCGAGTGGGTAGGTAATGAAATATTCAACATATCACAATGTAACACGATGTAACACAATGTATACAGAACATATAAAAGTTCGAACCAATAGAACAATTCGATGATGTGAAACATAAAAATTAAAAAATTTCCGAAAATTTATGGAGTACGTGATGTAATTAACTTCAACTGAGCCTTGAATGAATATGAAATAACAGAATCTTTAATGTGATATGGTAATTGGTTGAAATCATTCAATCCTCTGAAAAACAACGATTTCATAGATTGCTTTGTTCTTGTCCTGGAAATGTGGAATTGATTGGTGGTTCTTGTGTTGTAGTCATGAATTTGATTATTGTACGTAATGAAGGAATCAAAATATGTTGGTAATAAATTTCTGGTTATTTTATAGATAAATATCATACTTGAGTAATACAGTCTATCTGCCACATCATACAGTGATATGATGTGTGAGGGCACTCAGCATGCATTGAATGGGAGTGTATCTATTACAATTCAAGATGATTCTTAAACCTTAATTTCGCAGTTTCTGTAACTTCTGTATATTGTTTTTATCTAAAAGATAAAGCAGAGTGGAACAATAAACAAAATGGGGCTGTATGATGGTTCTGTATATTGTTATTTTTTAAAACATGGAAACTGCTGCTTAATTGTCTTAAACTAATTTAACAATGTTGCTTGATCTATTAGTTAGGTGAATCTGATAACTTAGATATTATTCCAACAAGCTATATAGTTATACTATTAGGTATTGGTTCACCATCGTTATTCATAATAGTATCACGTTCATTCATTTTTACGCTTCCATATGCATCTAGATGCATATGATGCATCCAGATGTTAACTAGTCTAACTAATCCAAATGAACTGAAGTCTATGGAATGGGTTTGTTGCAAAACATGGGTTAACATGGGTTACAAGCCTGCGATAATTCTGAAACTTTCATGCATTTTAGTTGCATGAAAATGGCAACTTAAAGCGTAATATGATATATTCTTTTATTTCATAATAATTTTAGATTACTGCAAGTGGTAGGAAGTTATAATTTTATTAAACTTAATGTGCTTTGCATTTTTGGTCTCAGCCCGTCCTTTAAAATATTATTTTCTACTCATTATAGTTACACGGTAATGCAGTTTTATAATGAAATATATCACATTCTTTGATTTTTTTATTTTCTTCGGGATATCTGAACAATATCTAGATCAAAGCTCGTCGACGGCTTGGGACTGCTGATTATTGGTTTGTTGATAGATTCTCTAGAAGTGACTGTCGATTCTTCTGAAACCAAATCGTTGGACAGTTGTTTATCTCATGACATCACGGAAACTTCCTCGCCGCAACGTTTACGGAAGTTTCTGGCTCTTCCTGTAGAATATTGGTCATGTCTGCAGCCAAATAATCCACGTCAGAAAATAAATGCCTATCAAATGGGTAATTTCCTGTGCATTTATACGCAGACACCACAATATCCAGCCGAGCTACTCAAGTGAACGCTTCTTTGATGAGACCAGCAATTTCGTAGTCGGTTGTCCAAGATCCGGCGGTTGCTCTCATCCACATGTCGCATCGTTTGTTATAAGCATCTTTGGATGGTTTCATGACTGTTCTGTCCAGCGGTTGGAGCTTGTGGATGATGTGTGGTGGTGATCTCATCACATGAATATTGTTTTCTCGGCAAAAATTGATAACGGCTAGTGTCTTGTGCAATGGCCATCCATTAGGAGTAGCAAAGGGCTCTATTTTGTGAAGTTTGAATATTTAACAAATGTCTTCAACCATTGTACGAAAAAAATCACAGTTCATCCAGCCGTCTGGCAAAGCCACGCTAACGCTTTTGGCTGGAACATTGATCATGAGACGATCATTGATCCATTACATAGGAAAGACAAAACATGGCGGTATGAAGTGTCCGTTGGCACTCATACAAAACAAAACTGTTGTAATTTTGCCCCTCTCAGCAGAAGTGAGCTTTCCCACTTGACGGACAGCTTTAGGAGAGAGAACTTTTTGATGTTTGTACAATCAGCTAACTCAGGTTTCATCACAGTTATGAATGTTGGAAGGTGGATATCTGTACTGTGTTATTAGTATTTTCATGTTGTCATGAAATATATCGACTTGCGGTTTATTAAACCCTACGGTTCGCATTATGCTTGTCGACTCTGGTGCTCTCAATGAAATGTTCGGGTATCTCTGCATGAAATCATAATAAAAATGCTTTCCGGCAGCTTGCTTCTCTTTGTTGAAACGATGTGAGATCTTCATTGCTTGAGCCAAGTCGAAAGCTATTTTCAGAAACTCCTTTTTCATCAGCGGCAGATATCTGTTGGATTCCTTTTTTTACGTGGTCCACTAAAACTTGTTCATACTCGGGTGAGAAGGTATTAGTGAATCTATCGAGCTTTGGTTGCAACGTCACTTCTTCTCCACGGTTGAATGCCGATGTTTTATCATGTAGGGTGCTTTTTGGGATATTGTAGCGTAGTGAAGCTGCCCTTAAACTCATTCCTTTGGACAACACCTTATCTATCGAAGTTTTCAAACTCTTTTGGTCCCATTTTCTTTTCTTTCTCGTCGCTTCCATTTTGATTTATCTCCGTTATTTTATCCTCTGCAAAGTGAAAGTGGCAGTCCCTCATCTTGTGTAAAGAATTCGTCATCTCCCACGGAACCAGTGAAGCGAAAAATGGAAAGCGGGGATAAGTGAAAGTACTCGAACGATCTATAAATAGTCATCTCTCGGAGGAATCAGTCCAGTCATCACCCGAAGATGATTGTAGATACTAACAATCGAAACGTCGTGAACTAACGTGACTTGGAATCTCTCAACTTTTTATTTTCATTTTCTTTTTTCATTTCTTAATTTTTATTTATTTTTGTTCAATTGTTCTATTTTACTTGTATTTTATTTCACTATTATTTCATTTCAGGTTCATTCTGCTTGATATAATTGTTATTTTCAGCTATTCATTTTTAATTCTTCTTCTTTAGTTGTTTCAGGGATTTCAAATCATTTTATATAGTAGACAATGGAAGTCCGAACTAGTGAAATTCATCATGAAACATTGTCAATTACTTTCAAACAAATATTTTTTCAATTGATAGTTACTTGAGCTTACTACAAGTGGTAGAAAATTATAATTTTAGAGGTTTTTCGGGAAGCTGCATGAACGGATTCACGGCGCGTCATAGCTTTGGCAGCAATTATTTAGGCCTTCAAATTGGTAATTTCTACTCATTGTAGTTGAATGTGAATACCATTTCGAAATAGATAATAGAATATTCTTCAATTTTACATAAGTTCTGAGTTACTACAAGTGGTAGAAAATTGATTTATGCGTTTTTATTAATGTGGGTTATGCGCGCTTTAATGGTAGGGCTGCAGCAAGCATCAATTATAGGAGGCTGTGATCATTGTATTGACAGTTCAAAACACCAAAAAAACTCGTGTTTTATTGCAATGAAGAATATTGCACAGTCAGTAAAACCAACAAAATTCTTTATTGAAATGGTTCTTATGCAGTATATTTATGTGAAACATATTCTTCCTTACGAATCAGTAGAGAGTTGTCCTGAAAACCTTGGGGAAAATTGGATGAGATAATTCAGGAAACACTTGCTACATGAATAGCATTTTACAAGTGTTGTTTATGACAAAGGATTTCAAGGACGAGGTTTCAATGAAGAACGAGAACGAGAATGTTTCCTAGTTATTCACCAAACTCAAACACCTGTTCATGCAGCCGCAGTTTCATAAGAATGTATCATGTTCCCCTCCAACCGATTTCCTGGAGTCTTTGAAGCCGTCTAGATACTCGTTACGACAAGAGGATTGTTCCGAATTCTTGGGGTTCTTGTTGAATACTCTTCGTGAGCAAAACAATAGCAGAATCAATACTCCTGACCGCTCTGGATTGAATGATTCCGTTCAGGCTATCTCGTCTTGTGTTTGTAAATCTTTTGCTGGAAAAATCCTCACTTACTTACTTTGCAGTAAATGTTCAAGAGGTAGTAAAAACGAATATGAATTTCTGGAACTTCAACTAGCGTTTCCTACTACGTGATAGAAGATCATAATGAAAAGAGAAATGAGAATTTCTGTTTTTTACCACTTTTAATTGTAACTAACGTTACTGCAGTTTCGTCCTATATGGACATTCTCAAACTAATACAATAAACTATAATTTATTGCCAAAATATTTCTAGTATAATTCGCTGTTGGGCATCCCATGAGAAAAAAATTTCCAGTAAAATACCTCCTTTGCCATCATGATTCGTCAAAATAATGTATTTTGATTGGTTGAAAATCACAGATGTGGAATTTTCGATGTAACATTGTTTTGTGATTTCACTTCCAAGCTTTCCATCCTGTATTCTGAATATGATATCTCGATTTATTCGATCGAAAGCTATTTCCATATCTTCAAAATTACAATATGAACTTTGTAATATTTGAAAATTTATAACGATAAAAATGAAAACAACAATAAAAATTAATTGGCGCTCCGGGGCAACTTCATTGATTCCAATGGCGCATTTGCTTTTTCAGCTGAAGGAAAACCCGGAAAAACCTGCAGCACCACATCATCTGAAGATCTTGATTTGCCAATGTCCTCTCTCTCATAAAACAAAATGTAGGGTGTCTCCAGAGGCTCCAATAGCTTCAATACATCGTCAGAACACTTCATAACAAGACTATCGTCAAACTTAAACCATTTCGTCTTTGACCAAGGCGTAATAATGACCAAATTCAACGCCAGAACCACAGTGAACAATAACTTCACGAATATTATAATAGTGGTTTGCTAGATTGAAAAGTTTTGAATTTTCCTTCAATGAATTTTCTTTCACAATGTCTCTCAAATTTTTGTATGATGGTGGAAATATAGGATGCGTGAACCAATTTTTTTTTTTAAATGCTCATTGATTTCTTCGAAAAGTTCCCAGTAGGATATCAAATCTAGAGTATCACCATTCAAACTTTCAATTGATTTGTTGAGTTTGAATTCTTATTGATATCTGTTTTTCTATTACTGAAATATTCAAACTGGCAACTTAAAAATCTAGCGTAAGATTTTTTCCGTTCCTTCAAGAAAAAACACGCTACAATCTCACATTAATAGAAATACAGATGAACAGACTCTTCAGAGTGATGAAATTCAATAGGTCTCTTGAGACCAATTACTCCCTTGCGGCAATAAAAATCTCCGCAAAATAACTCCTGTGTCGAACAATTTGTAGGCAATCATTCAAGACTGGTGTTGTATGAGGCTAATTTTAGCACAGGAATGTAAATAAACATTGCCGGTCTCTGTCGATCATATCACACCAAAGCAGCAAGAGTTTCAATTCAATATCTACGAAATTCTCTCCGACCAAGGACTGGATCAGATTTGGTTTCGAATTGAGGCCGCTGAAAACTGAATCATAATGAAGGTAGTAGCAGTAATAAAGATCACCAATTGATCATCTTCAAGAGGAAGATCAGTTCGATCTTTTTCTTGAAGATGCCTACCAGTGAGGATGGCAGTATTTCATGTAAGTGCAATTTTTTTACCATTCATTTAGTGCAGAACTCCTGTGGATGATATCTGATTTTATATCATAAGGAATGTTTGGAATACAAACTGAGTAGAGGATAGTATCTTCTGAATAATTCAGTGTTCATATAAAAGTATTTGTTTTGAATGAATTTGTCGTTCGTGTAATTCAATGTTTATATGAAAGTAGATGTTTCAGGAGGGCTTTTTTTTCTTCCAGTTTGTGTCTGAAAGTTACTTCTCTGAATGATTTTCACATCCATGTATAGAGTTACTCATTTCAAAATTGATTACTTCCTTCATTTCTTTGGAAGATTCCCACATTTTTTTGTATCAAGAAAGCCAAAAACTTTTTTCCCAAAGATTAGTCCCTTCTAAAATTTAAACCCTTTCAATGTTAACTTCATTATTATAATAACCGATTGGTTCGGATAGTAGATAGTTACATTATTTTATTTAGATGTATAGAAGGCATTATTTGGTACTCATACATATAATAATAGTAATAATATTACTGGTAATCATGTAGTGAGTGTGTCGGGAAAAAAGGGTTTAAATTAAGTTTGGTATAAAATATGGATTTTACGGAATTAGGTATCTAGTGTTTCTAGCTGCTGAAAATAGAGAGCGTAAACTGTTTATGTTTTAAATCAAATCATACTTTATTTTTATTGGATTTTTATTACTTCCAACGGTTTTTTTTTGGCTGCGATTGACAGTAACAGCACGTGTCATCCCTAATAGTTACATCACTGATCCAGAAATTAAGTATGAAATAGTAGTATATCATTCAACGAACATATAATTATGGCCATTATTCACACGGATGCTGTTTCTGACACGAACCGTAGGCGATTGTTGTAAATAACCCTTTCGGATAAAAGCCATTATATGCGAGTAGAATACTATACTTTGTCCACGTCAGAAGGGTATTTATGGAAATACTTTCATTGAGGCAAATACATATCGACCCTTTTATTATAACTTACTTTCAACATGAAATACTTGAACAATTTGTTAGGTCGATTGCAGAAATGGAATCAACGCCTACATTGATATTCTGATTATGAGTAGAAATGTTTT